ATTAAATAAATAAAATATTATAATACCAAAATAGTAATGGCATTTAATGCAGTTGACTTTTTTGGATAGTAAATGTAGTAAATAGAATCTCCTTTTATATAAGTATAGATTGTATAATACGGAAATAGTAATGCAATAAATGCTGTTGACTTTTCTGGCTACTTAATTTGGTAAATACGACTCCCTTTAATATAAGTATAGATATGATTCTACGTATTCAAATATATGGATTGATATCTCAATGATAATTATCTAAAGAAAATTAGAAAATTTTTATTTTGTTACTGGTTAATATATTAGCGATATTCACCTAACGAAAAATCAGAAATTTTTGTAATCCTAATGCATGTATATGGATGCATCTTATATATATCAATTTATTTTTAAAAACGTGTGATTTAAATAAGTTGATACATAATATTTTCATGCGATATAGATGCGTCTTTTTCCATATCAATCTATTTTTAAAAAACGTGTGAATAAAATATGTTGATACATAATATTTTTGATTAAATTTCATTTTCAGGGATCCTGTAAGGTGAGTAAATATCATTGTATTTCATATAATTTATTTTTTTTTTCAAATTCTTCCATATACATCCACATTAAAAATTGAACATTTGAACCATACAATAATCATATTTACAATATAAATCAAACTTGCAATAATTTTTTACCTAATCTATATAACACATCTACAATAAAAAAAAATACAATTCAAAGTATCGTGTATAATCATGAGATTTGCATACTGTAGTTTTAGTTTAACAGGATTGTTTTTCATTAAATCAAATGTACCGGAATTTATTTTGTAATCTCAACCGTATAATCAATTATTTTATTATTGATTAAATCTGTAATTTGATTAACATGATATAAAATATAAAATAGTATAACCATGTGATTAAAATATGGACGTCTAAATAAATGGATACATTAATCTAATAAAATCCAATCAAAAAAAATATTTTCTCATTCTTCATCACACATCCACGTGAAAAAACTGTCTAAACTAATTTCCTATTCAACCGCACGAAATCTTATATCTTATTTATTAAATCTAGAATTAAAATTACCTGCACACACTAATTAAATCGGATTGTGATGTAATAGTTCAAACTTGCACTAATTTCTTACCTATTCTATTGGATACACCCACCAAAAAAAA